GGTATTTCCGCACTTAATTTAGTCACCAATCCCATAACTGAGATATAGTTCTTTTCCTTTTAAGTTGTCATCGAAAGAAGCTAAAATACCTTTACAATTTAAAACGTTTTGTTTCTTGCTTGTCGTTTTTTATATAAATTTTATTTTCGAGTTGTTATTTTATTTGCAAGCTGAAGTGGTAACGGTCCGACCTTATAACAAGAACACAGTCCACCTGATGGTAAATAGATACTATGGCCTAGATCTATGTCCATCTTGGATTAAGGATCAAAATGCAGGTACGTTGCTACCCCTGAGGACGAAGATGAAATGCCGCGCTTCCAGTAAAAAGGGTCACCGGATCTCTACACTCGCCGACAATCCATGAAGAAGAAAGGTACTCGAGTGGCCTCCTCGTATCGGTAAAAAAAGAGTAGGAGGTAAGAAATACAGGAAATCAATGAATGTAGATATAGATGGCTCAGGAAGTCCCTTATGATTTTCAATTTGTTTTTAGTGTTGAAATTTAGATCAAATTTTTATATAAAAATCCTGTGTGCATTAATAATTCTTCTTCCAAACGGCTTGACTGAATTCGATGAATTTTTAATGGGGTACCACTTACGGAGTCACCTGGATGGTATTTTTACCTGGTGGTCATGCTGCAGCTTTATTAGCGGCATAGTTGTAGCACAAATGGGTCGGCCTGACCGGGTAAGGATCACGCTCTCACAGAATACCAGCGTAATATAGCAGCTTAACGCTGCTGTGTTTAGTATGGTGAGTAGAAAACCGGAAACCCTTTTTATTGGAATTCTTCATGGATTGTCCCCTGCTTTGTGGTATTTTTTTGCGAAAGGCCTATGTGCGGTAGTGGACTTGCAAACGGCTGTTATGATGATGATACAAGAAAGTTTAATAAGCGGTACAAAATTATACTAACTGTTCGTCATGTGTTCCTGGTTAGATAGAGTTTTAGTTTATAAGAGAAACTATTAAAACAACAACGATGAACTCTTGATTACTTGAAAGTCCATATAACAAGTTTTAACTAACTTGTTTCCAGCTTTATCTTATGAATATTAAATTATTGTTATTACTTTACTATATCCTCATATTTATAGGTGAGATGGTGCGGTTGCCGGCGCATTTGATTTTTTCCTAAAAAATATCTTTAGAATCTAGATATAAGATAAAATTATTCTTGCTTGTTCTTGCTCTTAAGTTGCAGCAGGGTCTGTAAGAGATGCTCTTATGGAAACTGACTGACCAAATTGGTCAATTTATTGTAGGTGGGCTAAATTATAAGTACCCTTAACTGACAAGCATGAATGCGTAGTATATGTATATGAAAAACTAACTATTTGTGGACAGATGTTTGGAAACGGACGGGACGGAAGATATAATAAGGATATAGAACGACGAGCGAATGCAAGAAATAGAGTGAAAGGGGTTCTACACTCTCTTATGAAGAGTCAAAAAAGGCACGTAAATGGTAACAGAAAGTTGAGTGTGGCAGAAGAAGCACGAGAGTATAATAAATGCTGTAGAAATGCGGTCTTAAAAGAGTATCATTATCATCCACTGCTGGACATAGGCCTCTCCCAAGGCGCGAGAAGAGTATAAATATATATATATATATATATATATATATATATATATATATATATATATATACCTAGGCTGCACTAAAAGTATCGGGAATGGAATATTTCCACTGTTCTTGTCATATTTAAATCATTTTAATTGAAAATTCCTTGGTTTTAAAAATCGAATACCATTTATTTATTTGAAAAAAGATTCTCGGTCTTGTCACAAGGTTTTGTCAAACTTGTTTAGTCGTTGATAAAATGGAATTGACTCGAGAAAATTCAAGAGCGATGATTTATTATGACTTTCGAAGTGGTTTAACACAAAAACATTGTGTTGACTGGATGATTTCTGCATTTGGTTATGAAGCCCCATCTAAAACCACAATTTATCGCTGGTTTGCTGAATTTCAACGTGGACATGTCAAGCTCAGTGATGATCCCCGTCAAGGTCGTTCAAAAACTGCAGTCACCCAAGAAAACGTTGATGATGTGCGTAAGCTGATTGAGGAAGATCGACATTCAGGCAAGATTCAAAATTCAGGCAACTTTATACATAGGCATGAGTCAAATACAAATAATCTATCATGAACAATTAAGTGTAAAAAAGTTGTTTTCCCGGTGGATACCGCATTCGCTCTGTGAAGAGCAAAAAACGGCTCGCGTTACTTGGTGCATCAGAACTCTCGAAAGATTCCACGCAGGATCCTCAAATGCTATATACAACATCCTAAACAATTGAAAAATCGAACCAGAAACAAAAAACCAGTCACGAGTTTGGGTGTTCGAAAATGAGTTAAAGCCAACAAAAATTGTTCGTTCACGGAGTGTTGCAAAAAAAAATGATGGCCACCTTTGTCTCCAAAACCGGCCATGTTACGACTATTCCTCTTGAGGGACAAAGAACGGTTAATGAAGAATGGTATGCTAGCATTTGTTTGACCCAGATCGTTTCCGAACTCCGTAAAGAGAACTGCAACCGCCGCATCATCCTCCATCATGACAATGTGAGTTCTCACACTGCACACAGAACAAAAGAGTTTTTAGAGCAAGAAAACATAGAATTATTAGACCATCCGCCGTACAGCCCCGACCTAATCCCTAATGATTTCTGTACTTTCCCTAAAGAATAAATTGCGTGGACAGAGATTTTCATCACCTGAAGAAGGTTCCATCGTATGGAAAAATGTGTAAAATTTTGCGGAGAATACTTCGAAAAGCAATAAATACATTTTTAAGTAGTTATGTTGTGTCACTTCCTTGATTCCCGAAATTTTCAGTGCCGCCCTCGTGTACTCTTTATGGGTATGCTACGGCTGAATCTGAATAACAGGGTGAGAAATTGTGTGATAAGAGAAAATGTGGTGTGCGAGAGGATGTTGTGACCATGATTAAGAAAGGAATGGTTCGGTAGTTTGGTCATGTAGAAAGAATGAACGAGGAAAGAGTGATGCAAGTTTATATTGCAGATGTGAATAGCAGAGTCGGGAAAGGGCGTCCTAGACAAAGATTTATCGATTAAATTGGCGATTTATTATAAATGAACCAGATTAGGAGTACCCTTAACGACGTGTATGCGAAGATATAAGGATGTAAAGGAGGTGAGAGAGATGTGTCAGGACCGTGCCAAATGGAAGTCTGTAGTCTCTGCCTACTCACACTCGTAAGTGTTTATGTTACGTTATGAAAAACGAGTTGAGTGTCAGTATCGTGCCAAATGGAATACCATGGTCTCTGCCAACTAATTCTATAATTTACATGTTTGTACGTTGTTTACTCCTCTGGAGACAAGTATTCGTCAATACTAACACTTAAGTTAGTGATAAACAGTGGTAGTGCCATGCTGCAACTATATTATGGTTGTAGAACGAATGAGGCGGCTTGACCGGGGAAGGTCCAGGCGTAAGGCAGCAGATTAATGTTATTATGTTTCATATGGGGAGTGTAGAGAACCGGAGACTCTTTTTATTCGAAACAAGGCATTCCATCTTAGTCTTCAGTGGTAGCAATGCATCAGCACTTCGATTCTTTAAAGAGGATAGAGGAAGATGTATATGGGCCACAGCATCCACTAACCATCAGATTGACTGTGTGCTGCCTTGTCACCACTCATTGACACATTCTATGTATTTAAAAGTATGTAAAAGTCCTTTAACTGTTACTTTATTGACATTCTCATAAGTATTTAACTATGCAAAATCCGTTTCTAAGTTTTAATCGTCCATTAACTTTGACAGACGCTAATTTCATTTGATATACTGTAAGACAAAAACGGTCAGAGTTTAGAGTTTACTTCAACTATAATTGTTTTACAGTGAATTGACTAAAACTATTATAATTTGAATATTACTGCAAATAAATTGGTACAATTCACATTTTTATAGGAAAAGGGTGATGCCATCAAAAACATAACTTGTAAAAAAACCAAGTCTAGCAAATCAGTTCTTCTACGGTAAAAAGTTCTGTGATCCATGTCCATGTCCCTACTTAAGGGTCCTTCTGTTTTAAGTTATTACGTAATTAGCTCACCTAGCAACATTTTATAGTGACCATATCAATGTTAAAAACCTTTTATGTTATAAATATATAGATTGACTTGGCCGAATCTGTAAATTTTTACCGGCACCACCCTGCTGACAGAAAAAGTCGTAGATGCCCTAATTCGATGAATCCGACTACTAGCAGTTTCAATAGCGTGTTCTGTGTTTAATAATGTCATGTGGCCGTTTGCATTGTTGTTACAAGATTTTTAGTACCACCTGATTTAAAAACTAACAAGTTTAAATAAAAAATAAACGTGATAAAATTTGGAAATTTATTATTCCAAATTTTATCACGTTTAGTTTACATAATTTAATACTCTGACGTTCCGAGTGTTTGCACAGTGAACGCAAAGTTCACTGGTTTCGCGAAATTTATGGTCGAATAAAATAAAATGGAATAGAACAGAATATAATATTTTTATTCAATAAAGATTATAAATATTTTTTATTGAAAATATTTTTTATAATGACCATTAGTTAGGATAAAATCTTCCTTCCCGGAAAGAACTAGCAAGAAACCAAACTCTAAAAACTAATTTAAGAAAGAGCTTGGAAGCGATCACCTCTTTCCCAAGGGTTATTGTCAACCATGAATGTATTTGTATTATAAAAACCTCATTTTGTCTATGTTTAACATCTTGATGTTATAATTAATCCAGACTTCCTTGAATATAAATGACCAAAAATAACTCAAAATGATAGGATTAAAAAATTAATAAATTAGCTGTGAAAAAACGAGTAAAAATTCGTTTTATTTGATGAGATGTATTGGATAAACATTGTAAGAATTTATGTAACAAGAAATAATGCTGTGGACGACAAAGATATCTTATCAATTTTTTCTATTACTTTTTAAACGATTGTTGGTAATTATATAATTTTGGCTCACCTGCATATTACATATCTTATATCGGACCGGCTCGCCGCGACATCCAGCCGGTGAGGAGCATGTACGTAGCTGTCTTGATACACCACCGTCACAAGTGCGGGAGCAAAGCGACCATTCGCTCCATTGTGACCAACCACCGCGTTCCTGCAAAGTGTAGTTTAATATTAATAAATTGTTAAATACAGTTTAGCTACAGTTAAAATTACAGCTTATTTACATCCCACTGCTGGGCACAGACCTCCTTTCATTTCTGAGATGGTTTTAGGGCAAAAAAATGTTCGCAGCGCTGCCCCAATGCGTGTATAGCTATATGCCACACAGCGGACGCCACGATTGACATTCTTCATGAGCAATTTTAGGCTAAGCTTATCTCTCGCAGAGGTGATGTGAATTGGCCACCAAGGTCATGCGATTTGACCCCGTTAGTTACTTTTTCTTGTGGGGTTTCCTGAAGTCGCATGTCTATGCAAACAAATCACAACCAACCGATGTCCTAAAGGTTAACATAACACAGGCCATCGCTTAAATTCAGCCGGATATACGCAGAAGAGTAAGTGAAAATTGGATCACTCGAATTCGTGCCACTGTAAGAAGCTGAGGCGGGCATTTGAACGTTGTCATATTGCACACTCAATGGCACATGTAGGCCTATCAAATAAAAATAGAATTTTGTTAATACTTCACACTATTATATAATACTACTATTATATAATACACAGCTTATTTTATTTTATTTCAACATATACCCGCCCTTATAGAAAAATCCTTTATCGCACTAATGATTTAGGGGCTTATCGCTCGAAGTAAATTTCAAAGTACGCGAGTGACCCCGGTTCGATCCCCGTCGGGATAAATTAAATTGTGAATTGTAATTTTACTTGCTGATTTACTATGTGCTCGGTGGTGACGAAACACATAGTGAGGAAAACTGTATATCTGAGAAATAGGAAAAAATATTTCGAAGACGTGAAGTTGTCGTAGACCAACACATATTTGGGCATCGAGGGGGCCTTTGCCCAGTAGTTGGACGTATATAGGCCGAAGAACATTAGTCAATTTTTATCATCCGTCAAGTGTAATATCCCTATACAAGATGCAGGATGGTGACGTAGATGGGAATTGGTTTCTCTTACATAGCGCAAACAAAAAGATCTATAAAAACTCGCGTGAAAGAACATATAGCAGACGTGTAATATCAACGCTCCAGGAAGTCTGCAGTCCGTGCACACGTTCAAGATTTGATATACCACAAGTTCTCGCAAAAGATCATATATTCCTAGCAAGGATGATATGCGAGGCTATTGAAAGTAAAAAAAATACATTCTAATTTTAATAGAGAAGATGAATGAGTGCTGCCATCTCCTTGGGGTCCTATAATTAACAAAAGTAAATTCAAACCCAAGTATGCGCAAGACTTTAAGAGCGTAGATCGGATCAAAAATTAATATTCAAAAAGTGAAGGTAGTCGGGCTGGATATGACTTCGGGACGTCAAATATTTCAGTCCCGCCAGTGGCCATGGGTTCTGTAAATCACCCAAAACGTCGGGAATCACAAATAAATGGGATGAAATCCGTGTAAATAGTTTTATTCAATTCGTAGTGTTTAATTAAATATAAAAAATCTTTATATAACTATAACTTCAATTGTAACACTAGTAATAATTTTAACTTTATGAGTACTTTACTATGGTAAACACAGCCTAATATAATAACGCATTATACACAGTATGTATTTGAGATATTACGAGTACGTTCCAGAGCTAAAGCTTGTCGAATGCCAAGAATTTAATTTAGTCCGCATGCGTTAAATGTACAATTATACTCGTAAACTATGCTACAAATATCATTTGTCAAAGACATATATACGAAATTACGAAATATAATTTAGAGCTATAATCGACGTAAAATATAGAAAATCTGGGGTTAGGAAGCTGTGTCTAAGGTGTCAGATCACTCCTGAGGACTGAAATCAAATATATTATGTTAACGTTGGTTAGAATTACTCCTTCCATATCTGCTAATTAAATAAAATGATTAATTAAATGAATCAGGCTTACTTTGCGAAAATCCATTATAATAAAGATATTAATTGTTACTTTGCAACCATTCACTCAATGAAATAAAATTATGTGTCTAGTATGAAGAACACCTCCCACCCTCCCTCAATTCCGTGCACTATCCCCGTCACCACTAATCCCAGCACCACTACTCCCAACACCACTATTCTAGCAAAGACACACCATCGACGATAATACGACACGTGTTTCGCCTCTACATGAGGCATCTTTAGCTGATGTAAACTCTACGGCGGCTAACTGCAAGTACCGTCAGGTGGACAATGTGCTCGTTTTTCACCCTTATACTACAAAAAAAAAAACAACGAGCACACCGTCCACATGGTAGGTGCATATCAATGATATGTTGCAACATTCATTGCTATGCAGATGACAGCACTGGTGATGCTCTGTACACCGGCCGTGCCAATATTTCTCGGGAAAAAGACTCCGAGTACCGAGACAAATTTGTGTCTGAACAAAGTTTCGGATTGGGGGCGACTAAATCTAGTCCAGTTTAACCCTCAGAAGACACAAATTTGCGCGTTAATCGCTAAAAAGAACCCCTTTGCCGTATTGCCTCAGCCAGTATCGGAATCCTCGGCGTCGATATATCGAGTGACGTGCAGTTTCGTAGTCACTTGGAAGCGAAGGCCAAATTGACCTTTAAAAAGCTTGGCATTCTCGTCCCCGCTCTGGGCAGTATTTAATGTGGGCTCATCGCCTGCAACTTTACAAGGCGCAGATTTAATCGCACATGGAAGACTGTTCCCATCTCTGGGCTGGGGCTCCCCAGTACCAGTTCCGTCCACTTCACCGCATCCAGCGCAGAGCGGCTAGATTCGTCGACGACTGAGTGTCACGGGGAGTGCTCTGAGGAATTTTTCGAAAAATCCCAGCCGCCTAATTTCATGAACGCATTACGCGGCAAACCTCCCTAGTGACCTTCAAGAAAAGAGCTTACTCCTTTATAAAAGGCCGGCAACGCCTCTGCAATTCTCCTGGTGTTGCGGTTGTTCATGGGCGGGGGTTATTACTTACCATCAGGTGAGCCGCATGCTCGTTTGCCACTCTTCTATTAAAAAAAAAAACCGCATAAATTCTCGTTGGTTAAGAGTACTTCTAATCAGGTACATTTTCAATATATCGCCAATTCGGTCGATAAGCTTTCGTCTAGGGCGTCCCCTCCCGAATCTACCGTTCACTCTTTCCTTATTTATTATTTTTACATGACCAAACCACGGAAGCATTCCTTTCTTAAACCTACTCACAACATCAACAGTTGTATTTAAATTACATGTAAACGAAATAAATCCTTAAAATTTAGCTCCAAGAATACCGATAAGCGACTTATCGATTGAGCATTAAATCCACGGAATAATTACATATTCCGGTCAGTCGTATGCAAAAGCGGCACGTGCCCGAAATCTCTTCCGTATACGGTGCCTCTTCGTTACACATAACTTTCTGAATATAAATATAAAGCTATTGCACACATCTCTTTCTGTATTTTGCGAGTACGTGACAGAGATGTGAGAATTGACTGTTTTGTGCTAGTTGTTCTCCCTTTGTGCAATTAGGGAGCAACTGTGCTTTTCTTGTTGTAATGATTTTGTTTCCCGTTTTATATTGCTATGTTCGTAAATACGGAGCACAATATGTTTTTAACTTTTTCTTTCAGAAGTGTGGTTTCTGAAGTAACTTTAAAACTACATTTTTGTACTTTTGGTAAAAAGTTGACAATATTTTAGTCGTAATCGTCAAACCTATTAAAGTCCACTCCTGAGTTGCCATTGTTGCCACGCTTGGCAACCGCAGTTTTTTTGTCATTATTAGGAAGTTGCTGCTGCCCATCTCCAGATTTTTCCCCTCTGTTGCCTCTTACGACACCCACGGTATAATATTATGGGGTGGTAAATATTCTTTCGTCACTACTATACGGTATGATTTAGCATTATTTAAGCATCGTAACATTCAGTCAGATTATTTCCATTGCTTGTTTTGTCTGTCCTATATTAATATATAGAATTAAAGGTAACCAACGAGTTCACAGCCCACGTGATTGTAAATAGACGCAGTAGCTAGGGTTGCCAATCCTTCTTTATGAAATAAGTACCATTTTGGGGGTCAGAATACTTAATAAAATATAATTAACTATAGTAAGCGAAACTAATAATATATATATATATATATATATATATATATATATATATATATATATATATATATATATATATTATTTAAGCAACAGAAATAATAATCATTTAACAAAAAACATTCAATTGAAATATATTTTATATTACATTTTTATTATGTTATAAAATAAATGTATACAATAAATGTTACGAAAACATCTCACGGCTCACTTAAAGTATCGCAATCTGTGTATTCTGGGCGTCGCTTATAGGAAGCACAAAGTTTTGTTGTACGAGGCTCACAAATGTTATAAGCGCAAGGCAGGGTGGGCGAGCCGACCCGGTGGCTGTTTATTAAATATTTATTTATCTTATTAAGAAATTTATAGCGAGTGCACATTAGGCGCTGTGATGCGTGCGCTTATACATCCGTACACTTTACAAACGAGCATCAGACGCGCGCTTTTAGATACATGGACAGCAATTTTCTTAAACATTTGATCGCGTGCTTTCGTGTAGAGTGGACGAACGTTGACAAAAATGGAGATCGAGCATTTTGATACGGATTTCTTTAGCAATGAAATCCAAAAGCGACCAGCTGTTAGCACGTGGTACTATTATGTATGCTGTGCTATTAGGGACTCGTCCTGTAAACGCTCGTCGAATGCCATGCTGAGCGCGGTGCATGGAAGCTATCGCCCAATGTGTACTAGCTCTTATTGTTCTTGCCATAAATGTTACAAAGAGCGGATTTAATGTTAGTTAGCATTCTTGCCATTCAACTCACTGCTTGGTAAAAAAGTTGTGGCAGGTGACTTAAATAACTAAAAATAACAAACATAAATAGATATAACATGTTGAAACAAGATTTACAAACCACACAGACATACATATATGAATAAAACACAATAATACATATATAACAATCATCCATAACACTGATACATATGTAGC